TCTCCCTCTCCCACTCCCCCTGCTTGTGTTCCCTCTCTCACTGTGTCTCTCTCTGTCAAATAAATAAATAAAATCTTTAAAAAAATAAAAATAAAAATAAAAACAACTAGGCATACAAAAAAAAAGGGGGATACTGTTAGCAGAGGTCAAAAGACAAAGTAGGCAGTAGAAATAGATCTTGAGAGAACCCAGATGAATGAGCAAAGGCTTAAAAGCTTTTATTTAAAATATATTCAATACCTTAAAGGAAAATAAAGGCATAATGAATAGATATCTGGGAAAGACCAGAAGACAAAATGAAAACTATAAAAAGGAACCAGTAGAAATATAAAAATTCAGTATATTGGTTTTAGTGGGAGATTGGAGAAGAAATAAAGGATCAGTGAACCTAAAGATAAATTCAAATAAATTATCCAATTTGAACCACAGAGAGAAAGAAGACTATAAAGGAAATGACCATAGCCTCAGTGACGTGGCACATTCATCAGGTGGCCTGATCCACATATAATTAGAGGCCTAGAAAAATAGGAGATTGACAGTGGGGAAGAAAAAAGTATTTGAAGAACTAACAGCTACAGTTTTCTCAATTTTGGTATAAAAAATAAAGTTACAGAGCCAAGAAACAGTAAACCCCAAGAAGAATAAATACAAAGAAAATCACATGTGGGCACATTAGAGTCACATTGCTGACAACCAAAGATAAAGGAAAAATCTTACAATTCTGAGGGAGGAGAAATATTAAGTAAACAGAGATATCAATATGAATGATGGATGACTTCTCATCAGATATTTTGGAAGACCGAAGACAATGGAGCAACATCTTTAAAATGTTGAAAAGGATTAAAAAAAAAAAATCCCTGTCCACCTATGCTCCTATATCTAGCAAAAAATAGTCTTTAAAAATCAGCAATACTAAAGATATTGTCAGTAAATAAAAGCTGAAAGAATGTGCTACCAGAAGAAATGACACATGAAGTCATTGAAGGTGAAGGGAAATGATCTAAAATGGAAATTCAGAACTGTAGGCCTAAAGGCCATGAGAAAAGGCAGGAAATATGTTACTAAACATTTAGAGAAATTGGTTTTTTCTCTTTTAATGTCTTTAAACAATAACTGACAAATTATAAAATTATAATACTGTATTATAGAGTTTAGACATAAATAGATGCAATAACACAAAGGAGAATGTAAATTAAATTATTTGAAGTTATTTGTACCAGGATTTTTACATTTCCATGAAGTAGCATAATTTTCACTTTTGGTACATGAGATTAAAATTATATAGATGCATGCACGCATATATATTAGTATTGATATACATATGAATATTTATATGTGTATGTATATCTACATAAATATGCATATATATACACATATATAAATATGTATATGTTGATCTATCCATCTGTATCTATGTCTATGTAAAACCTAGTTGGATTTTATCCCATAAATGTAAGATTGGAAAAACATTAAAAACAAAAATTATCTATGTATGCATAAGGCATCGTATTAATAGAATATAGGAGAAAAAATTGATGACTTCAGTATATCCAGAAAAACACCACTTGACAAAATTCAACATCCATTCAGAATAAAAAATTCTCAGCAAACTAGGAACATAAGGAACTTCCTTGACCCGATAAATGGCATTATGAATACTCTATAGTGAAAACCATACTTAGTGGTTGAACACTAAATATTTTTCATTTAACATTGGAACCAAGGCAAGGATGTTCACAACTGCCACTTCTATTCAACAATGTGCCAGAAGTCCTAGGCAGGTATGAATAAGAAATAAAATACATAAAGTTTGGAAAGGAAAAATCTCAGTTATCTTTAATCACAGACCTTGCTGTTTTACATAGAAAATCCCAAGAAATCTATAAAATAAGTCCTAGATGCATAAGTGAGTTTAGAAACTCTTAGTATACAAAAAAATACAAAATTTGTTTTCTTTTTATACAGTAGGAATCAACAAGTGGAAAATAATATTTTACAATTCCATTTATATTGGCATAAAACAAAAGACACTTAGGAATAAATTTAACAACAGGTGTGAAAGATTTCAACATGTAAAACTGTACAACTATACATCGCTAATATAAAATTGTGATGACCTGAAAAACTGGAAAGTACACCATATTCAAGGACTGAAAAACTAATATGCTTAAGGTAACAATTCTCTGTAACATGATCAATGTAATCTCAGTCAAAATCCCAACAGCTTTTATAGATTGATT